TTAAAGAGTTCAGGCTCTAAATCTTGATAATGTTCAAGTCTGCTAATCAAATCCTGTCGTGCGTGGATGCCAATCTTGGTTGACAAAGGGATGTGGGCGATAGAATCGTACGTCGTGTGATCTACAAATAAAGATATTAAAATATTAAATTCGGGAATATCAAATAAGAAAATATGGATTGTCAATATTGTAACATACCAAGTTCGAGAGAACTCTGGTACTCGAATTCTTTGATGATCACGTGCATCACCTCATCGATGGTTCCGATAGCATTGATGAGATCTAGTTATCGTGTAAGGAAAATCAAATTATCAAAAAAAACTTTCAAATCCTTAAAACATAAAAATTACTTACGAAATGGGAATAGGTTTCCAAGTTTCATCAAAGCACCAAAATGTTCTTTGAATATCCGGTAGCGCGCTCGAATTAACTAGATAGATAATGATTTTGAGAATGAATGACAAATAGCAAATCCTACATATTCGCTACATATACTCACCATTTCGTCATAATCGGTGACCCGTTCCTCTAAAAGTACCCCTTGTCCCGTCATTCGAACTTGAGCGTTGTGTTCTCGTATCTTATTTCCCCGTGATATCTGACGGGCTACGGATACTTCCTCGTCGACATACAAGACGCAAATACGGAACGTGGGACGACTAGATACGATTCGGTATCATATTAATATAAATAGTTATGTCTAATTAACTAGAAAAAAATGATATCTATATTACGGGAAGTTGTCCTGCAGCGGGGTTTTCCAATATTCTCGACGCAATTCGTGCATTTTGTCGTATAAAAGTTTCAGGCATTCGGCCTGGATATCCGTGCGAGGGAATCCATCGACGAGACATCCCACGGTAGGATCACAATTAAGAAGTGCACGTAGTAAGTTTTCTAAAACCTTTCCGTCACCTGTCAAAGAGAAAATTTAGATCCACGAAAGCTGTGAAGTGTTTAAAATGAGGTTTAACTTACTGATCATTTGACCCTTGTTTATAAGGTCTTTGCAATCTGGAGTGGATAAAAGGGCTGACATACAAATCGCTGGATTGGTTATTCCACGAGCTTTTAGAATTGAATTAGTGTGTGTTCCTTTGCCACTCCCAGGTGCCCCCATCAACCAAATGATCTCTTTTGGGAGACTACATGTATTCAACAGAAGGAAATTTGAATTAGAATTCCGAAGTAAAACGCGTCATCACACAAGTAGTATAATAGGTGATATTATGAAGTACTTTAAGTTTTCTTTCCC